AGTGCCCCCTTCCACCAGGGGCTGAATACCAGGATGACAGAGTGCCCCCTTCCACTGGTAGTGCCAAATAGGACCTTTGGCTCAAATCGGCTTTCCTACAAAGGAGCCTAAGTCATTCGTGTTATCAGTAACATGTATGATTCATTAGCTAATTTCCCAAACCCACATATCCTGTGATCGGAAGGTAGCTGGTTCGGGCCCAGCCTCTGCAGAACAGTCACGTGTCCATGGGCACCCGAGCAAGGCCCTCACCCCCCAGCCTCTGCCCTCACCCCCCAGCCTCTGCAGGGGGCTGCCCTTCGAAGAACTCAACTTAAACACAGACAGAACGTGCGAAAGATGCTGGAGGCACGAGGCCACAGCAACACCTTAAACCTGAGTTCTTCAAATCTGGACCTCGATTCCAAATCCAGGCCTTGTTTTCAGTTCTCCAAGGTAGTTAGTATAATAATGACTGATTCTGATTGGTCAGAGGCTTCACACCTGGCTCACAGGTAAAGGAAGGCTGGAAAACCAGCAGTGCTCGGACCTCGAGGACCGTGATTTGAATATCCCTGCCTCTCTGTACCCAAAGATTCAGCTGTTAGCAGTTTCCAGGAGAACTTTCAACAATAAATGAGGGAAATGAAAACACCTTTACATCACAGGGAAACAACTTGGAAGAATCACCTGGAAGTTTTTGTCAGGAAGGAAATAGCTGGATTTTACGACGTTGAGTTCTGCGAGGCTCTGGAGGATGTCACTGACGGCCTGCTCGCACAGCGCCCCCGTCTGGCATTCCTCCCCTTTGCTGGCTGCTTTGTCTGGCTCTGCCCCAGTCAGCTGACAGTCTGTGACACACAGTCACCACAGTGTATAAAAGGTCATGCGTGGCTTTTGCAAAAACAGTTATGCTATTGCTGACAATGCAATTTTAATTACAACTTAACAATTAGTCATACATAGCTACAGATTGAATTTGATTGCTAACATATGTACTAATGCCTGCATTTACTACAAGTGAAAGTATACGTTACTAGACTGATTCTAGCATAAGCATATTACACAATCTGATACAACAAAGGTTTGCTAAAACCAGCCATTTAGATTATTCACAGGGTTCTGCTGACCGTGAAAATTTAACCTGTAGCACTTGGCTTGATTTAGAGCAGTGTTTCCCAAACCAGTCCTTGGGGACCCTGAGATGTTCCATGGTTTTGCTCCATCCCAGCTGCCTGCCAGACAGTCCACATTTTTGCTCCCAGGGAGCTGGGAGGCAGCAAAAACATGGACGGTCTGGGTTGGGAAACACTGATTTAGAGCAAAGGTTCTCAGCTGGTGGTGGGGATCATTTTTGTGCTGCGGGCTGAGCTTATCACCCGCCAGTTAAGAATCACGGACCTGATCATAGTATTTGAGGGGTCACAGTGTGTTTTGGTTCAATCTCAGCTCATCCTGGATTTATTTAGGTTATTATATGGATGATGAATCACCTGATCTGGTCTCCCCCAATCGTTAATGCTCTACTTCCCAGCATGTGATGATAAGTTACATTGTAATTAATGGATGCGCCATATATAAGCTTCCTCACCATCCCGCAAAGTCTCCTCCGCCGACTTGTCGCTGGTGCCGTCCGCCTGGCCGCCGGTGCCCTGCTGCGCGTGTTGCAGGCTGAGCTTGTGGCAAACCTCAAAGGCCTGACCCACCGTCCGCACGATGCGCATGGCCTGGGTCTGACATGGCCGGTGGATACGTCTATCAATCAATGTCCATTCTCGGTCTTTGTGATACAACGTTGCAGAATCTTACTACCTTTTTCTTGGACTTGAACACGTTACACCTGAATGAATTGCTGGCTCCATCCCGGGCAATGTAGCTGAAGATCTTAAGGTCTTGAGAATCGTGAGATACGTAAAAAATCCTGAAATTATATGTTAAAAATAATCATTTTCTTTGAATATCTTTATAGATACGGCATCATTGTACTCCTGTTAACCTGTGACACAGATACAGACCAATGTCCTATCTTCCTGAGAGATCATAATTCCTAACTTCCTGTCTGAAAGAGTGATCCTCATTGGCATGTTTGGCTTGAGAGAGCAGAGTACTCCTGCACCATATCTAATGTTGGTGTAAAGGTTCTGAATAAATCCAATAAAAGGTTCTGAATAAACCCAGTAAGAGTTTCTGAATATCTTGGTGTTGGGTGTCCATTGCAGGACATTAGGGTTCATTGGATCTTCCTCATAAGGAGGAATCATGAAACCCGCATTTTCTCAGCTTTCAGTACATTTCTTGTTACCACCGGCAACATCAGCTCCGCGCCGATGCATCTTGGTGTGCTACGGATGGCTTTTAATTATGAGGCTTGGAGCTCTGCAGCATGTCTGACTGATCTCAGGTAATGAAGCACTGCAAGCTCAGTGAGCACTGGAGGCTGCCTCTATGCTTGCTTTACCTCCATGCCCTCATCTCCCTCCTGTACACAGCAGAGCACACATTCCTTTAGGCTTTGTTTCATCAAGCATGGAGCTCCATGCTGGGCATGAGGGCAGGACAGCATCAGGTGACTGGGAGTATCCATAGCGACTCCTTACACCTGCGCCTTGCTCTGTTTAGAGCGCTGTTTTGTTTTGTCCCCAGTAACCCGATTCCAAGTGCTGTTACCCGTTTCACTGAATTAATGTTGCCTTGGAACACTGCGAGAAAGGTCCAAACACACAGCTCAATATGCTCTCCAAACAACAACAATCGCTGGGAGTGGTGAGGTAGGAGCATTTACTCGGAGCCTAAGATAGACAACAAAAGTATATAATCAAAAGGCTAAATTACATGTTCCTGTACTGGGAGACAAAGTAGCCATTTTACTCCCAATATCTGCTAGCCAAATGTCAAAGGCCCTTGAAGGTCACATGATGTCCTACAGAGGCAGACTATAAGGCTACTGCCCAGGGAAATGGCCACCAGATATGTCATGTCAACCTCCTCCTGTGTTATTGGCTGCACAGAAATAGCAGCTGGGGATAGAGCTTCCCAAACAGCCAAGCTTGTGCCAGTCGTCTGCGGTGCCCAGCTTACGTCCAGCCGAAAAAACATTTTGCTAAGAACTGAATATAATATTACAGTAATCAAGTAGTCTCATAGTGCCTGAAGCAGTTTCATTTAGATTTTTTTATTTAGGAGATGCTTTTGTCCAAAGCAATATAAAAGTGAGGATCAGAGAGCTTGGCCAGACAGTGTCCCTGGAGCAACTGGGCTTAAGGGTTTTGATCAAAAGCCCAGCACTGATATTCTGTGTCCCATAGGGACACGGGCTCATGGTGCTGGTTCTAAAACCAAGTGGTCCTCTTTGGTTCAGTTTAGACTACGAAACAAAGTTTCATGAGTACCTCCTGAATCGATGCGTTGGTTAGTTATCTGGGTATGGTTCTGTTTAATCTGGCTCCTCTTAGATTCCTCCTCTTAGACTTTAAGGGCTCCTCTTAGATTCCTAAAAATAATTCTGTCTTCTCCATTTTGGGATATACTTCCATTCAGACTGAACGGGGCCTTGGTCCTTTCGCAGCAAATAATGGACTGCAATGCTGTATCCAGACCATATTAATGCAAAAATGACTGGACGAATTTGCAGCATGTTTGCTGCATTTAATAGCGGTCTTGCAATTAAGAAGCAGGCCTTGCAGGCAACCGATGTGTAATTCTCTCAAAAGTCAGCCTGTTCCAGGTATTACAAAATTACTCACGGTGATTCATGTTTTTAGCCCTATGCAGGCCCCTCAAGGTCCCCAACCAGAAGTAGTCCCTGGAATTAAAGCAATACTCTATGGGGACCTAAATCTTTATCTGACATCATCCTGACCTTCTGCTGAGCTGGCACTCCAATGAAGATACCAGGTGGGAAGGACTTGGGGGGGGGGTGCTCACTTGTGTTGAGCTCCTGTTCTCCTGTGGGGGGCCTCAGCAACCTGCATAGAGCCAACCTACACTGGTGCCTCCTAAACAAATGTTCCTTCCTATAACCCTTAAGAAAAGTATCATAACTGTCCCGGATTCAAATTGATTTTGAAAATGCTCAGAGAGGGTTCCAAAAATGTTAACAATGATACTATGCCTCTGTTACAATGTTAACAATGATACCATGCCTCTGTTACAATGTTAACAATGATACCATGCCTCTGTTACAATGTTAACAATGATACCATGCCTCTGTTACAATGTTAACAATGCTACTATGCTACTGTTATGCCTCTGTTACAATGTTAACAATTCTACCATGCTACTGTTATGCCTCTGTTACAATGTTAACAATGATACCATGCCTCTGTTACAATGTTAACAATGATACCATGCCTCTGTTACAATGTTAACAATGATACCATGCCTCTGTTACAATGTTAACAATTCTGCTATGCTACTGTTATGCCTCTGTTACAATGTTAACAATGATACCATGCCTCTGTTACAATGTTAACAATGATACCATGCCTCTGTTACAATGTTAACAATGCTACTATGCTACTGTTATGCCTCTGTTACAATGTTAACAATGATACCATGCCTCTGTTACAATGTTAACAAT